TGAAAACAATTAAAATACAGAGTAGGTGGGAGAAATTTGTGCATGAAAAAAATATTATAAAAAATGCAATCAAAAATGTAAAATATCTTAAAATATAAAAGGAAAAAAGTTCTATCTTATATTTAAAAAATTGTAAAAAGTACATAAAAATAATTCAATAATAACTCATAAAGAGATAAATGTAAAAATATATGTATCTATTAAAACATTTGAAAATAAATTTAAAATGATTTAAACAATAAACTGTAAGAACCTTATAAAAGGTTTTAAAAAATGTGGGTATTTAAAAAATTCATTTCAAAATTTAAGAGATCGATTTATAAATAAGTAAAAAATATTTTATAAAAATGCATTAAAATGGAAGTTAAAACAATTTAGGATGAATAAATTAGAAAATAAATTAAAAAATGGAAATTAAAAAGTTTAAAGTATATATATATATATATAAATATTAAAAATGGCATATCCTGACCAGGAGCACAAGTGCTTTACAGAAGGCAGAGCGCCATCTGTATATATATATATATATGAAAAAACAACAGAAAAAATAAAAGATAAGTGGGTCAGGTGTTGATATTAAAAATAAAAAAGGCATTTCCTGACCACGAGCACATGTGCTTTTTAGATGGCAGAGCGCCATCTAGTGGAGCAAAAATAAACTAAACGTTTATTTAGCTTGCTCCGTGATATTTGGCCAACCCAATTTCTTGATAAATCAAGAAAAGCCATTTACGAACGCGTTTCGCGCTGTTGGCGCTCGTCAGCGTGGAGAAGGCTGTAACCACTGCGACCAAAAAAGAATTTTGGTCCCAATGGCTTCCCGAGAAATCAGAAAATGGGTATTTAAGGCCAAATTTGCGTAAAGACGCTTAACACATGAAAATGTGGATGGCTTTTCTTGATAAATCAAGAAATTGGGTTGGCCAAATATCACGGAGCAAGCTAAATAAACGTTTAGTTTATTTTTGCTCTACTAGATGGCTCTCTGCCATCTAAAAAGCACATGTGCTCGTGGTCAGGAGATGCCTTTTTTATTTTTAATATCAACACCTGACCCACTCTATCTATTGTTTTTTCATGTGTTAAGCGTCTTTACGCAAATTTGGCCTTAAATACCCATTTTCTGATTTCTCGGGAAGCCATTGGGACCAAAAATCTTTTTCGGTCGCAGTGGTTACAGCCTTCTCCACGCTGACGAGCGCCAACAGCGCGAAGCGCGTTCGTGGATGGATTTTCATGAAAATCAAGAAATTGGGTTGGCCAAATATCACGGAGCAAACTAAATAAACGTTTAGTTAATTTTTCCTCCACTAGATGGCGCTCTGTCATTTAAAAAGCACATGTGCTCGTGGTCAGGAGATGCCTTTTTTATTTTTAATATCAACACCTGACCCACTTATCTTTTATTTTTTTCTATTGTTTTTTCATGTGTTAAGCGTCTTTACGCAAATTTGGCCTTAAATACCCATTTTCTGATTTCTCGGGAAGCCATTGGGACCAAAAATCTTTTTCGGTCGCAGTGGTTACAGCCTTCTCCACGCTGACGAGCGCTAACAGCGCGAAACGCGTTCGTGGATGGATTTTCTTGATAAATCAAGAAATTGGGTTGGCCAAATATCACGGAGCAAGCTAAATAAACGTTTAGTTTATTTTTGCTCCACTAGATGGCGCTCTGCCATCTAAAAAGCACATGTGCTTGTAGTCGTACTCTTCATTTTGACTATTTTAAACATTTTTATAATAAAAAAAAAAATATGTAATATTTTAAAAGTGTTTAAACAACTATAACTTTAAATTTTATTGCCATCTATCGTTAAAATTTACACAAATAAATTCACTGGCAATGCGTTTCTTTTAAATATCATCAAATATTATCTCTACAGACCTTACTGCAATGATATGATTTATTGAATGAGAGGGCTTGGCTCATCAGTAGTGAACCCTCTCAGCGGTTTCGCCAAATTAATCTCTAGACCGCTCTACTATTGTATTGGACTGGTTTTGTTATATTCCCTGCATTTTCTATGGAAGGCAGCTTAGGGGTGTTTAGTGAACTATGGACATAAGCTTATAGGTCTGTAGAGATAATATTTGATGATATTTAAAAGAAACGCATTGCCAGTAAATTTATTTGTGTAAAGTTTTAACGATAGATGGCAATAAAATTTAATTTACTTATATATATTGGTTATGAAAACATATTTTCCGGAAGAGCTTTGCTCGATGCAATACCTTGAAATTATATGTACGTACCTCTACAGACCTATAAGCTTATATCCATAGTTCACTAAACACCCCTAAGCTGCCTTCCATAGAAAATGCAGGGTATATAACAAAACCAGTCCAATACAATAGTAGAGCGGTCTAGAGATTAATTTGGCGAAACCGCTGAGAGGGTTCACTACTGATGAGCCAAGCCCTCTCATTCAATAAATCATATCATTGCAGTAAGGTCTGTAGAGATAATATTTGATGATATTTAAAAGAAACGCATTGCCAGTAAATTTATTTGTGTAAAGTTTTAACTATAATTTTATTAAATAATGAATATGTAAAATAATAATACTTCACGATGTTTTATTTTAAAATGAATAATAATTTGTATATTTTTGATAACTCTGTGACCTGAAAATATAGAAGTTATATAGATATACATAGTTAGTTCGTTGCTGGTAGATGTAAATATTAGCCATCCTTTTAATTTATCAGTTTGTATTTTAAATAAAAAATAATTAATTTTATTTAAAAAGGCTAAGGCTATTTCTTTAAAACATATACCACAATTGGTGAGCCGGAATTAAAAAGAACAATTAAATCAAGAAGAACAAACATTATTATTAAAAATTCAAGATGGCGACCGAAGAGAAGTTAACGAGCGGCGGCGGATCGGAACCCTACCATGAAGCCTGCAAGGTAAGCATTAAAATACCTCCATTTTGGACAGATAAACCTAAAATTTGGTTTTATCAAGTTGAAGCTCAATTTAACATAAATGCGATAACATCCGAAGAAACAAAGTTTAATTACTTAATTGCACAACTTAAGCCTAACGTTCGAAATTTAGAGAAAATTTCTTCACTTGAAAGACAAGTGTCTGAAATTAATTTATCGAGATCAAGGCCAACATCAAAGAATCAAGGCCACCGTTTTTCAAGATCGCGTAGCCAATCGCGTAGAAAGTATGATCCCAAAGGAAAATTTTGTTTTTACCACTTTCGCTTTGGAGTACATTGCATTCCAGAGAAATGCAAGCCTCCATGTAAATGGGTAAACAAGCATAATAATCAGGAAAACTCCATGCTGCAGTAGAAGACGCAGCACATTCTACAGCAGATAATTTAAATAGTTGCTGCAAATATCGTCTATTTATAAAAGATAAAAATTCTGGCCTACAATTTTTAATCGACAGTGGAGCTGATGTCAGCATTGTACCTCCTATTAAAAATGAAAAACGTAAAAGCGACTACAAGCTCTATGCTGCGAATGGTTCAGAAATTGAAACCTATGGTATCAAAATTTTAACCTTGAATCTAGGGTTACGCCGGGAATTTCAATGGACATTTGTGGTAGCCAAGGTGAACAAAGGCATCTTAGGAGCTGATTTTCTAAACAAATTTAACTTACTTATCGATATAAATAAAAGAAAATTAATTGACGGTATTACCAATTTAGCAATAAATGGAGTTATAACATCTATTACAGAAAATAATAATATAGTGACACTTTGCAATAATGTAAATTTTTCAAAATTATTATCTAATTACCCTAATATAACCAAACTTGCATTATTTCCGACTAAACCAGAACATCATGTAAAACATTTCATAATAACTGAAGGACCTCCTGTACACTCAAAAGCAAGACAGATTGATCCCAAGCGACTTGCGGTTGCTAAGCAGGAATTTAAATTTATGTTGGAAAATGATATAATACGACCATCAAAATCTCATTGAGCTAGTCCATTACATATGGTTGCCAAGAAAGATGGTTCTTTCCGATTATGTGGTGACTATAGACAACTTAATGCTAAAACTGTCACAGACAGATATCCTATACCACGCATTGAAGATTTTCATCATATTTTAAAAGACGCCAAGATATTTTCCAAAATTGATTTTCTGAAAGCCTATTTTCAGATACCAATCGAGGAAACAGATAAATGCAAAACAGCTGTGATTACACCATTTGGACTTTATGAATATAATGTAATGAATTTTGGCCTTAAAAATGCACCATCATCTTTCCAACGATTTATACATGAAGTTTTATGGGGCTTAGATTTTGTCTTTCCCTATTTAGATGATATATTAATTGCATCGGCTAGTGAGGTAGAACATTCAAGACATCTCGTTCTGGATGAATCATTCAACTTCCTGTTAGATTTCAAGACAAATAGACTATAACCTATTTAATAAGTAAATGTTGATGTACATCCAAGTAGCTGAGCAGCTGTAAATATAGGCAACTTTGTTACTGGGAGGAGAGTAATGTAGTCGTACTCTTCATTTTGACTATTTTAAACATTATAAAGGACTGCGGCGTATGATTATAAAACAACACTTAAAGTTTCACCGCATAAGTTTCTTTTCCGTGAAAAATCAATATTTATTTCAAAGAGAAATATTTACTATTTCTAACTTTTTTGGATGAAGTATGAAAGGGTGAAAATATGAAGAGTAATGGCGAACGGAAAAATAAAAGTGTCCAGGGGCGGGAATCGAACCCAGAACGTTCCGCTTACCGGGCAGATGCCATGTCCACTAGGCTACCCTGGACGTATTTTTCCGTTCGTAAATAATACTTAAAGTAACTTATAATACATTATAAAGGACTGCGGCGTATGATTATAAAACAACACTTAAAGTTTCACCGCATAAGTTTCTTTTCCGTGAAAAATCAATATTTATTTCAAAGAGAAATATTTACTATTTCTAACTTTTTTGGATGAAGTATGAAAGGGTGAAAATATGAAGAGTAATGGCGAACGGAAAAATAAAAGTGTCCAGGGGCGGGAATCGAACCCACAACGTTCCGCTTACCGAGCAGATGCCATGTCCACTAGGCTACCCTGGACGTATTTTTCCGTTCGTAAATAATACTTAAAGTAATTTATAATACATTATAAAGGACTGAGGCGTATGATTATAAAACAACACTTAAAGTTTTACCGCATAAGTATCTTTTCCGTGAAAAATCAATATTTATTTCAAAGAGAAATATTTACTATTTCTAACTTTTTTTGGATGAAGTATGAAAGGGTGAAAATATGAAGAGTAATGGCGAACGGAAAAATAAAAGTGTCCAGGGGCGGGAATCGAACCCACAACGTGGGTATAAGTTACTTTAAGTATTATTTACGAACGGAAAAATACGTCCAGGGTAGCCTAGTGGACATGGAATCTGCCCGGTAAGCGGAACGTTGTGGGTTCGATTCCCGCCCCTGGACACTTTTATTTTTCCGTTCGCCATTACTCTTCATATTTTCACCCTTTCATACTTCATCCAAAAAAGTTAGAAATAGTAAATATTTCTCTTTGAAATAAATATTGTTTTTTCACGGAAAAGAAACTTATACGGTTAAACTTTAAGTGTTGTTTTATAATCATACGCCGCAGTCCTTTATAATGTATTATAAGTTACTTTAAGTATTATTTACGAACGGAAAAATACGTCCAGGGTAGCCTAGTGGACATGGCATCTGCCCGGTAAGCGGAACGTTGTGGGTTCGATTCCCGCCCCTGGACACTTTTATTTTTCCGTTCGCCATTACTCTTCATATTTTCACCCTTTCATACTTCATCCAAAAAAGTTAGAAATAGTAAATATTTCTCTTTGAAATAAATATTGATTTTTCACGGAAAAGAAACTTATGCGGTGAAACTTTAAGTGTTGTTTTATAATCATACGCCGCAGTCCTTTATAATGTATTATAAATTACTTTAAGTATTATTTACGAACGGAAAAATACGTCCAGGGTAGCCTAGTGGACATGGCATCTGCTCGGTAAGCGGAACGTTGTGGGTTCGATTCCCGCCCCTGGACACTTTTATTTTTCCGTTCGCCATTACTCTTCATATTTTCACCCTTTCATACTTCATCCAAAAAAGTTAGAAATAGTAAATATTTCTCTTTGAAATAAATATTGATTTTTCACGGAAAAGAAACTTATGCGGTGAAACTTTAAGTGTTGTTTTATAATCATACGCCGCAGTCCTTTATAATGTATTATAAGTTACTTTAAGTATTATTTACGAACGGATAAATACGTCCAGGGTAGCCTAGTGGACATGGCATCTGCCCGGTAAGCGGAACGTTGTGGGTTCGATTCCCGCCCCTGGAGACTTTTATTTTTACGTTCGCCATTACTCTTCATATTTTCACCCTTTCATACTTCATCCAAAAAGTTAGAAATAGTAAATATTTCTCTTTGAAATAAATATTGATTTTTCACGGAAAAGAAACTTATGCGGTGAAACTTTAAGTGTTGTTTTATTTTAAACATGTTTATAATTAAAAAATATGTAATATTTTAAAAGTGTTTAAACAACTATAATTTTATTAAATAATGAATATGTAAAATAATAATACTTCACGATGTTTTATTTTAAAATGAATAATAATTTGTATATTTTTGATAACTCTGTGACCTGAAAATATAGAAGTGATATGATACATAGTTAGTTCGTTGCTGGTAGATGTAAATATTAGACATCCTTTTAATTTATCAGTTTGTATTTTAAATAAAAAATAATTAATTTGATTTAAAAAGGCTAAGGCTATTTCTTTAAAACATCTACCACATGCTCGTGGTCAGGAGATGCCTTTTTTATTTTTAATATATATATATATATCTAGAGAGAGAGCGAGAATATATTATATTAAACCTTTTAAAATCAGAATCTTGTATAATTTTATTTTGTAGATATGATTATAAATATTGTTGTTAGGAATATCTTAAACCTTTTTAAAAGTTTGTTCCGACGACCCGCTGACGCCCTTCTCAAGGGGAAAATATTTTTATGTTAACTCCTTACCAATTTATGTAATTTCCATTTCATAAATTGTATCGTAGTAAGTAAAAAAAAATATTTCTGTGAGGGAAGGGCGAAAGCGGGTTGATAAACTTCTAAAAAAATAAGAAGAAAATTTGAGCCGTTTCGATAACTATAACTGTGAATTGTGAATTCTAAGGTTGATGAAATAAAGCCCCTATTATTGGGGATATGCTCTACGGATGTTTCAACAAAGCGATAGCGTTCAACGATAGGACCAATAGTAAGCTGCTTCTCCAAACGCCACACATACGTATTGGGATATTCTGCTGTGTTTCATGTGTTCAGTGTGACACTAACCTAGCATCGTGCGTCCTCCACACTCAGCATCATCTTGTACTGCAACCACACATCCGTTATACGCATATCATAACATAAATATGTGTAATATATTTTCAGTTTCTTCCAAGTGCTATACAGGATGTAGCATCTATTTGAGAACACACAATATAGAAGCCACACTTTCCTATGTGCTATATTAACATAATTTTTTTTATGTTGCAGGTAAATATGACAGAATCAAATCTTATGCAAGGATTGAAGAGGCATGCAGTTATTGTCACCTTGGCTGCAGGACACACCGATTTAGAAACTGCTGCATTCTTGAATGTCGCCAGATAATTTGTTTTCAAAGTTCGGAGAGAATTTGGAGTTTCAAAAGGTGATGAGGCGAATGTATCACCAAAGTAAACGACATTCTTGACGTTCTGACAGAATCAGGACGCCAGTCTTCATAAGCCGTGTCCAAGAAGCTATCGATAAGAACTCTGGGAAGTCGATTAGGACACTCGCCAGAGAGCTGCAAGTTGATGAGGATACCATCCGGCGTCTGGTTCATGAGGGGGGACCTCCGTTACAAATCATACGCTCTGAAGAGAGGAAAGTACATGTCTGAAATAATCAAGGTGAACCTCTTGACCCGAGCCAAGCTCCTTCTGAACAAGCTCGAACATCCCGAAAGGCCAGGAATGATCTCTTTTTTTCCCTCAAACGAGAAGAAATTTGTTCAGGACCAGAAGGTAAACAGCCAAAATGATCGTTAGCTGTGTAAACCCCTGATGAGGTACCTACGGTCATGCAAACCAAATTTCTAGCATCATTGATTGTCCTTGGTGTTATTAGTGAAGGTAAAGTGATTTCTCCACAATAAATTTACTCCAGGTGTAGAGTCAATGCCGTTGCTTATAGCGAGGTGCTAGTCAAAGTTGTCAAGCCTTGGATCGCTAGCTTAGCACGTGGTAGGCCCTATGTTTTCCAACAAGACTCAGCACCATCTCATACAGCCAGAACTACCCAAGATTGGATGACCGAGAATATTCACGACCATGTCACATCTAACGTTTGGCCCCCCAGATTGCCAGATGTCAATCCGCTGGACTATTACGTGTGGGGCGTAGTTTAGAGGGACTCCAATAGTCCTTCCTACAACACTGTTGCAGTATTCAGAGCTTCTATAGTGGATGTAATGGCAAACATTCCCAAGAACCATCTCATTACTGCCTGAGTCGGTTTCGACAGCGTACAGAAGCTGTTATTGCCACTGATGGCGGGTTCATTGAATGCTGTCGTCCTTTAGACATGTATTCATCGGAATAAAACTTTAATATGTAAAAAATGCTTTTCCCTTTGTCAATTAATTTTTCCCATGGACATCATTTTGTTCTCAAATAGCTGCCACACCCTGTACTTCACTGAGAGGTCGAAATTTTGGGGTCTGAAATATTGTTCTTTCATTCGTTATTGTTCTCACATTAAGTTATATAATTAGAAGAGAAGAAGCTTTTTATTAGAAATTTTAAAAAAGGTTTTCATTTTTATGTTTCTGTGAAGCATAGTAAAAATGAAAAGTAAAATAATTAGGCATGCCGAATATAGAAAGGTAGATATCATTGAGCACCATATATATTTATTCCACAAAATTCTTCAAAAATATTATTGCAATTCTGTTTTACCATTCGCGCATAACCACCTTTTAAATACACTGGTCCGCAAAATTAATGGAATAACATATTTTTTAATTTATCTCAAATTTTATTGAACATTTATCAATGAAATTTTATACACGAATTTATTATTCCATTATTGATTAGAATACCCGAAATCAAAGAATTTTAACACGTATTTTATGCAAATTAGCCGGTCAAGCAATGATCTTCTTGCAGTCAGTGCATAAATATCATGGATATTGTTGTTAATATGGGGTGTGATCGCCTTTTACTGATATACAGGCTCTACTTCGGTGACCCATACTAAGAATTAGAGAGTTTATCACAGCTCCTGTGGAATCAACGCCCACTCTTGTGTTAAGTCTGTTTCTAGCTCATGAGTGTTTCTAGGAGGGGGTTGGAGGGATGAAATACGCCGTCCTAGGTTGTCCCATACATGCTCAATGGGATTTAGGTCTGGGGATCGAGCTGGCCAATTCATCCGAGCAATTGCATGGTTTTGGAGAAAAGTGTCGACCACACCAGCCCTATGTGGACGGGCATTATCATCCATTAGAAGAAAGTTTTCTCCCATTTCCAATGCTTGAGGCATCACATATGCTGCCGAGATCTCGTCCCGATACCTCTGTCCAGTCAGGGTTCCTTGCCGAAAAATATGGAGTGCTGTGCGACCGCCCAAGAACATTCCAGCCCAGACCATAAAACCTTGGCTTCTGTATGGATCCCTTTCAACCATATTCCGGGGATTATTTCTGGTTCCTACCTCTCTCCAGACAAAGATACGACGAAAATAGCTGTTTAGAGAGAATCTGGGCTAATCAGTGAACATTACACGCCTCCATTCATCTGGATTCCAGGCGACATGTTGTCTGCACCAAAGTTTCCTTGCTCTCTTTTGAGTTGGTGTCAATGGCACACAAATTATGGGTCGTCGAACATAGAGGCCCTTCTTGTGAAGCCTTCTGCGTATTGTATCAGTTGATACTAAGACTCTTGTAGCTCCATTGAGGTCACTTCGTAGTTGCGATGCTGTCATTCTTCTATTGCGACGCATAAGGAGACTCAAATAACGGTC